GATTTGGGTGGTTTTGATGGATTTTGGGGAGAATTTGGGGGATTTGGGGCGGATTTTGGGGGGATTTGAAGGATTTTCGGGGGATATGGGGGATATTTCGAGGGGATTTTGGGAGGTTTTGGGGGGGATTTGGGGTGAATTTTGGCGGGTTTGGGAGGATTTGGGGCGGATTTTGGTGAGATTTTGAGGGAAATTTGGTAATTTTGGGGAGGATTTGGGTGGTTTTGATGGATTTTGGAGCGAATTTGGCCGATTTTGGGGCCCCCGCCCCTCATAGCACTGACAGGCGATAGCCCCGCCCCTTTCCCGCCCCTTTGATGATTGACACCTCCCTCAGCCAATCAGCGGCGCGCGCGGGGCACGCCGGGAGTTGTAGTCCCGCCGCCCCTCCGCCATTGCCCCTTTCCCCTCCCCCCCGCCCGGGGGTCTCGGGGGGGATTTTGGGGCGGTTTGGGGGGATTTGGGGAGTTTTGGGGGGTCTCCGGGGGGATTTCGGGGCACTTTGAGGAGATTTTGGGGGTCTGGGAGGGTTCATGAGGGGATTTTGGGGCGGTTTGGGGGGATTTTGGGGGTGAATTTGGGGGTGAATTTGGGGGATTTGGGGCGGATTTTGGCGGGTTTGGGGGATTTTGGGTGGATTTGGGGGATATTTCGAGGGGATTTTGGGGGAGATTTTGGGGGATTTGGGGCGGATTTTGGTGGGTTTGGGAGGATTTGGGGCGGATTTCTGTGAGACTTTGAGGGAATTTTGGTATTTTTGGGGAGGATTTGAGCGGTTTTTGATGGATTTTGGTGAGAATTTGGGGCGGATTTTGGTGGGTTTGGGGGATTTTGGGTGGATTTGGGGGATATTTCGAGGGGATTTTGGGAGGTTTGGGGTGGGATTTGGGGGATTTCGGGTGGATTTTGGTGAGAATTTGGGGGATTTGTGGCGGATTTTTGCGGGTTTGGGAGGATTTGGGGCGGATTTCTGTGATATTTTGAGGTAAATTTGGTATTTTCGGGGATGATTTGGGCGGTTTTGATGGATTTTGGTGCGAATTTGGCCGATTTTGGGGCCCCCCGCCCCTCATAGCACTGACAGGAGTTAGCCCCGCCCCTTTCCCCGCCCCTTTGATGATTGACACCTCCCTCAGCCAATCAGCGGCGCGCGCGGGGCACGCCGGGAGTTGTAGTCCCGCCGCCCCTCCGCCATTGCCCCTTTCCCCTCCCCCCCGCCCGGGGGTCTCGGGGGGGATTTTGGGGCGGTTTGGGGGGATTTGGGGAGTTTTGGGGGGTCTCCGGGGGGATTTCGGGGCAGTTTGAGGAGATTTTGGGGGTCTGGGATGGTTCATGAGGGGATTTTGGGGCGATTTGGTGGGATTTTGGGGGGTTTTGGGGGTGAATTTGGGGTGTTCTCAGGGGATTTGGGGGATTTTGGTGCGAATTTGGGGGATTTGGGGCGGATTTTGGCGGGTTTGGGGGATTTTGGGTGGATTTGGGGGATATTTCGAGGGGATTTTGGGAGGTTTTGGGGTGGATTTGGGGGATTTGGGGTGGATTTTGGTGGGTTTGGGAGGATTTGGGGCGGATTTCGGTGAGATTTTGAGGGAATTTTTTGTATTTTTGGGGAGGATTTAGGGGGGTTTTGGCGGATTTTGGTGAGATTTTGGGGGATTTGGGGTGAATTTTGGCGGGTTTGGGAGGATTTCTGTGATATTTTGAGGTAAATTTGTTATTTTCGGGTAGGATTCGGGTGGTTTTGATGGATTTTGGTGCGAATTTGGCCGATTTTGGGGCCCCCCGCCCCTCATAGCCCTGACAGGCGATAGCCCCGCCCCTTTCCCCGCCCCTTTAGATGATTGACACCTCCCCCAGCCAATCAGCGGCGCGCGCGGGGCACGCCGGGAGTTGTAGTCCCGCCGCCCCTCCGCCATTGCCCCTTTCCCCTCCCCCCCGCCCGGGGGTCTCGGGGGGGATTTTGGGGCGGTTTGGGGGGATTTGGGCAGTTTTGGGGGGTCTCCGGGGGGATTTCGGGGCAGTTTGAGGAGATTTTGGGGGTCTGGGAGGGTTCATGAGGGGATTTTGGGGCGGTTTGGGGGTTTTGGGGGGTTTTGGGGTGAATTTGGGGTGTTCTCAGGGGATTTGGGGGATTTTGGTGAGAATTTGGGGGATTTGGGGCGGATTTTGGCGGGTTTGGGGGATTTTGGGTGGATTTGGGGAATATTTCGAGGGAATTTTGGGAGGTTTTGGGTGAGAATTTGGGGGATTTGGGGTGAATTTTGGGGAGAATTTGGGGGATTTGGGCCGGATTTTGCCGGGTTCGGGAGGATTTGGGGCGGATTTTTGTGAGACTTTGAGGGAATTTTGGTATTTTTGGGTAGGATTTGGGTGGTTTTGATGGATTTTGGTGCGAATTTGGGGGATTTGGGGTGGATTTTGGCAGATTTGGGGGATTTTGGGTTGATTTGGGGGATATTTCGAGGGGATTTTGGGGGATTTTGGGTGGGATTTGGGCGGATTTTGCCGCGTTTGGGAGGATTTGGGGCGGATTTTGGTGAGATTTTGAGGGAATTTTTGCATTTTTGGGGAGGATTTGGGCGGTTTTGATGAATTTTGGTGCGAATTTGGCCGATTTTGGGGCCCCCCGCCCCTCATAGCCCTGACAGGAGTTAGCCCCGCCCTTTTCCCCGCCCCTTTAGATGATTGACACCTTCCTCAGCCAATCAGCGGCGCGCGCGGGGCACGCCGGGAGTTGTAGTCCCGCCGCCCCTCCGCCATTGCCCCTTTCCCCTCCCCCCCGCCCGGGGGTCTCGGGGGGGATTTTGGGGCGGTTTGGGGGGATTTGGGCAGTTTTGGGGGGTCTCCGGGGGGGATTTCGGGGCAGTTTGAGGAGATTTTGGGGGTCTGGGAGGTTCATGAGGGGATTTTGGGGAGATTTTGGGGGGTTTTGGGGGCTTTTGGGGGTGAATTTGGGGTGTTCTAAGGGGATTTGGTGGATTTTGGGGAGAATTTGGGGGATTTGGGGTGGATTTTAGCGGGTTTGGGAGGATTTGTGATGGATTTTAGTGAGATTTTGAGGGAATTTTGGTATTTTCGGGTCGGATTTGGGGTGTTTTGATGGATTTTGTTGCAAATTTGGGCGATGTGGGGCGGATTTTGGCGGGTTTGGGGGATTTTGGGTGGATTTGGGGGATGTTTCGAGGGGATTTGGGGTGGATTTTGGTGAGTTTTTGGGGGATTTGGGGTGGATTTTGGCGGGTTTGGGAGGATTTGGGGCGGATTTCGGTGAGATTTTGAGGGAATTTTGGTATTTTTGGGGAGATTTGGGGGGTCTCCAGTGGGATTTATGGGTGAATTTGGGAGATTTTGGGCATGATTTGGGGGATTTCAGGGGGATTTTGGGGAGAATTTGGGGGATTTGGGGCGGATTTTGGCGGGTTTGGGGGATTTTGGGGTGGATTTGGGGGATATTTCGAGGGGATTTTGGTGAGATTTTGGGGGATTTCGGGTGGATTTGGTGAGATTTTGGGGGATTTCGGGTGGATTTGGTGAGATTTTGGGGGATTTGGGGCGGATTTTGGCGGATTTGGGAGGATTTGGGGCAGATTTCGGTGAGATTTTGAGGTAAATTTGGTATTTTCCGGTAGGATTTGGGCGGTTTTGATGGATTTTGGGGAGAATTCGGGGGATTTGGGGCGGATTTTGGCGGGTTTGGGCGGATTTGGGATGGATTTGGGGGATATTTCGAGGGGATTTTGGGAAGTTTTGGGTGGGATTTGGGGGATTTGGGGCGGATTTTGGTGAGATTTTGGGGGATTTGGGGCGGATTTTGCCGCGTTTGGGAGGATTTGGGGCGGATTTCGGTGAGATTTTGAGGGAATTTTGTTATTTTTGGGGAGGATTTGGGAGTTTTGGTGGATTTGGGTGAGATTTTGAGGGATTTGGGGTGAATTTTGGCGGGTTTGGGAGGATTTGGGGCGGATTTCTGTGATATTTTGAGGTAAATTTGGTATTTTTGGGGATGATTTGCGGGATTTTGATGAATTTTGGTGCGAATTTGGCCGATTTTGGGGCCCCCCGCCCCTCATAGCACTGACAGGAGTTAGCCCCGCCCCTTTCCCCGCCCCTTTGATGATTGACACCTCCCTCAGCCAATCAGCGGCGCGCGCGGGGCACGCCGGGAGTTGTAGTCCCGCCGCCCCTCCGCCATTGCCCCTTTCCCCTCCCCCCGCCCGGGGGTCTCGGGGGGGATTTTGGGGCGGTTTGGGGGGATTTGGGGAGTTTTGGGGGGTCTCCGGGGGGATTTCGGGGCAGTTTGAGGAGATTTTGGGGGTCTGGGATGGTTCATGAGGGGATTTTGGGGCGATTTGGTGGGATTTTGGGGGGTTTTGGGGGTGAATTTGGGGGGTTCTCAGGGGATTTGGGGGATTTTGGTGCGAATTTGGGGGATTTGGGGCGGATTTTGGCGGGTTTGGGGGATTTTGGGTGGATTTGGGGGATATTTCGAGGGGATTTTGGGAGGATTTGGGGTGGATTTGGGGGATTTGGGGTGGATTTTGGTGGGTTTGGGAGGATTTGGGGCGGATTTCGGTGAGATTTTGAGGGAATTTTTTGTATTTTTGGGGAGGATTTAGGGGGGTTTTGGCGGATTTTGGTGAGATTTTGGGGGATTTGGGGTGAATTTTGGCGGGTTTGGGAGGATTTCTGTGATATTTTGAGGTAAATTTGTTATTTTCGGGTAGGATTCGGGTGGTTTTGATGGATTTTGGTGCGAATTTGGCCGATTTTGGGGCCCCCCGCCCCTCATAGCCCTGACAGGCGATAGCCCCGCCCCTTTCCCCGCCCCTTTAGATGATTGACACCTCCCCCAGCCAATCAGCGGCGCGCGCGGGGCACGCCGGGAGTTGTAGTCCCGCCGCCCCTCCGCCATTGCCCCTTTCCCCTCCCCCCCGCCCGGTACCGGGGGGCACCGGCGGAGCGGGGCGGGGGGGGGAGGGGCGGGGCGGGCGGGGGTCTCGGGGGGGATTTTGGGGCGGTTTGGGGGGATTTGGGGAGGGGAACGGGGGAGGGGAGGGGGGGTTCAGCCCCGCCGCCCCCTCCCCGAGCGCGGAGCGGCGCAAAATGGCCACGGCGCTGCACAAACCCCTCAAATGGTGAGCGCGGCACCGGGACACCGGCACCGGGACACCGGGACACCGCCCCGGCACCGGCACCGCCCCGGCACCGCCCCGGCACCGGCCACGGCACCGGCGCGGCGGCGGCGGGGGCGGGGTGGGAACCGGTGCCGGTACCGGGAGGGGTTCGGTGTACCGGTACCGGGAGGGGATGGGGGTACCGGTACCGGGAGGGGTTCGGTGTACCGGTACCGGGAGGGGACCACCGGTACCGGGAGGGGATGGGAACACCGGTACCGGTGATGGGAGGGGGGTACCGGTACCGGGAGGGGATGGGAGCCCCGTTACCGGTGATGGAAAGGGGATGGAGACCCCCGTTACCGGTGATGGGAAGGGATGGAGACCCCCGGTACCGGCACCGGTGATGGGAGGGGATGGGAGACCACCGGTACCGGCAGCGGGAGGGGATGGAGACCCCGGTACCGGTGATGGGGATGGGGATGGGACCCCCGTTACCGGTGATGGGAGGGGATGGGAGACCACCGGTACCGGCACCGGCAGTAGATGGGAGCCCCGGTACCGGCACCGGGTGGGGATGGGAGCCCCGTTACCGGCGGCAATGAGGACCCGGTACCGGCGGCAATGAGGACCCGGTACCGGCGGCAATGAGGACCCGGTTCGGGTGGGGACAGAGCCTCCGGTACCGGCAGAAACGGAGCCGTGGCTCTGCTGGGGAGGGACCCACCGGGAGCCGAGCCCCCGGTACCGGCAGGGAGGGACCCGGTACCGGGATGGGGATCCGGTACCGGGATGGGGATCCGGTACCGGCCGGGATGGGGATCCGGTACCGGGATGGGGATCCGGTACCGGAGGGGTCCCAGTCCCGGTTCTGATCCGGTTCTGATCCCAATCCCATCCCGGTCCCGGTTCTGATCCGGTTCTGATCCCATCCCGGTCCCGGTTCTGATCCGGTTCTGATCCGGTTCTGATCCCAATCCCATCCCAGTCCCGGTTCTGATCCGGTTCTGATCCCATCCCGGTCCCGGTTCTGATCCGGTTCTGATCCGGTTCTGATCCCAATCCCATCCCAGTCCCGGTTCTGATCCGGTTCTGATCCCAATCCCATCTCAGTCCCGGTTCTGATCCGGTTCTGATCCCGGTTCTGACCCGGTTCTGACCCGGACCCTCCATCCCATTGATCCCAGTCCCGGTTCTGACCCGGACCCTCCATCCCCGGTGATCCCAGTCCCGGTTCTGATCCCGGTCCCAATCCCAGTCCCAATCCCGGTCCCAATCCCGGTTCTGATCCTGATCCCAAACCTGATCCCGGTCCTGGTTCTGATCCCGGTCCCAGTCCCAGTTCCGTTCCCAATCCCGGTTCTGATCCCGGTCCCAGTCCCAGTTCTGATCCAGTCCCAGTTCTGATCCTGGTCCCAATACTGGTCCCAGTCCCAATCCCGGTTCTGATCCCAGTCCCGATTCCGGTCCCAATCCCAGTCCCAATCCTTGTCCCAGTCCCAGTCCCAATCCCGGTTCTGATCCCGGTCCCAATCCCGGTTCTGATCCCAATCCTGGTTCTGATCCCGGTCCCAGTCCCAATCCTGGTCCCAATTCCGTTCCCAGTCCCAGTTCTGATCCTGATCCCAATCCCGGTTCTGACCCTGATCCCAAACCTGATCCTGGTCCCGGTTCTGATCCCGGTCCCAATCCCGGTTCTGATCCCAATCCCAAACCTGATCCCAGTCCTGGTTCTGATCCCGATCCCAAACCTGATCCCAATCCCGGTTCTGATCCCAGTCCCAGTCCCAGTCCCGGTTCTGATTCCAGTCCCGGTTCTGATCCCGGTCCCAGTCCCAATCCTGGTCCCAATTCCGTTCCCAGTCCCAGTTCTGATCCTGGTCCCGGTTCTGATCCCTGTCCCGGTCCTGGTGTTGGTTCCTGTCCCAGTCCCGGTTCTGACCCCTGTCCCAGTCCCGGTCCCGGTTCTGATCCTGATCCCGGTCCCGGTCCCGGTCCTGGTCCCAGGTCTGATTCCAATCCTGGTTCCGGCTCCGTCCCATTCCAAATCCCGGCCCCAATCCCAGTCCCGGTTCTGATCCCGGTCCCAGTCCCAGTCTTGGTTCCAATCCCGGTTCCGATCCCAGTCCCGATCCATGTCCCAGTCCCGTTCCCAGTTCTGATCCCGGTCCCAATCCAGGTCCCGGTCCCAGTCCCGGTCCCGATCCCAGTCCCAGTCCTGATCCCAGTCTTGGTCCCCATCCCGGTTCTGGCCCCAGTCCCGGTTCTGATCCTGATCCCAAACCTGATCCCAGTCCCGGTTCTGATCCCAGTCCCGATCCGTGTCCCAGTCCCAGTCCTGTTCCCAGTTCTGATCCGGTCCCAATCCCGGTTCTGATCCCGGTCCCAGTCCCGATCCCAGTCCCAATCCTGGTCCACCTTCCGGTTCTGATCCCGGTCCCAGTCTCAGTCCTGGTCCCAATTCCGTTCCCAATCCCGGTTCTAATCCTGGTTCTAATCCTGGTCCCAGTCCCAGTCCCAGTCCCGGTTCTGATCCCAGTCCCAATCCTGGTCCCAATCCCGGTCCCAATCCCGGTTCTGATCCTGATCCCAAACCTGATCCCGGTCCCAGTCCCAGTCCCGGTTCTGATCCCGGTCCCAGTCCCAATCCCGGTCCCAATTCCGTTCCCAATCCCGGTTCTGACCCTGATCCCAAACCTGATCCTGGTCCCGGTTCTGATCCCGGTCCCAATCCCGGTTCTGATCCCAATCCCAAACCTGATCCCAATCCCGGTTCTGATCCCGGTCCCGTTCCCAGTCCCGGTCCCGGTCCAGGTTGCAATCCGGGATTTTGGGGTGTCCCGGGGGATTTGGGGGATCCCCGTGGGGATTTTGGGGTGTCTTGGGCTGATTTGGGGGATTTTGGGGCGGATTTTGGGGCGGATTTTGGGGCAGATTTTGGGGCTGAGTTTGGGGCTGAGTTTGGGGCCGATTTGGGGCGGGTTTTGGGGAGGATTTTCGGGAGGATTTTGGGGCGGATTTTGGGGAGGATTTTGGGGGGATTTCGGGGCGTATTTTGGGTTGGATTTTGGGGCGTATTTGGGGGAGGATTTTGGGGGGATTTTGGGGCGTAGTTCACGGATTTTTGGGTGGATTTTGGGGGTATTTCGGGGTGCATTTTGGGTTGGATTTTGGGGGTATTTTGGGGCGTATTTTGGGTTGGATTTTGGGGCGATTTTGGGGAGGATTTTGAGGTGGATTTTGGGGCGGATTTTGGGGCGGATTTTGGGGCGGATTTTGGGGCGGATTTTGGGGTGGATTTTGGGGTGGATTTTGGGGAGATTTTTGGGGCGGATTTTGGGGAGATTTTTGGGGCGGATTTTGAGGTGGATTTTGGGGTGTATTTTCAGGAGGATTTGGGGCGGATTTTGATGTGGATTTTGGGGGGATCTTGGGGTGGATTTCGGGATGGATTTTAGGGCGGATTTTGGGCTGGATTTTGGGACGGATTTGGGGGCGGATTTTGGGGGATTTTGGGGCGGATTTTGGGGTGGATTTTGGGGGGATTTTGGGTTGGATTTTGTGGGGATTTTGGGTTGGATTTTCGGGTGGATTTTCGGGCGGATTTTGGGGCTGATTTTAGGGGGTTTTTGGGTCTCATTTTGGGTTGGATTTTGTGGGTATTTTGGGGCGTATTTTGGGTTGGATTTTGGGGCGTAGTTCACGGATTTTCAGGAGCATTTTGGGGGTATTTTGGGGCCATTTTGGGTTGGATTTTAGGGCAGATTTTGGGGGTATTTTGGGGGGATTTTGGGGCAGATTTTGCGGCGGATTTTGGGCGGATTTTGTGGGGATTTTGGGGCGTATTTTGGGTTGGATTTTGGTGGGATTTTGGGGAGGATTTTGCAGCCGATTTTGGGAGGATTTTGGGGGGATTTTGGGGGTATTTCGGGGCGCATTTTGGGTTGGATTTTGTGGGTATTTTGGGGCGTATTTTGGGTTGGATTTTGGGGCGTGTTTGGGGGAGGATTTTGGGCTTAATTTTGTGGAGGATTTTGGGATGGATTTTCAGGCGGATTTTTGGGCGGATTTTGGGCCTGATTTTGGGGGTATTTTGGGGTGTATTTTGGGTTGGATTTTGGGGCGTAGTTCACGGATTTTGGGATGGATTTTGGGGCGGATTTTGGGGCGTATTTTGCGTTGGAATTTGGGGGGATTTTGGGACGTATTTCGAGTTGGATTTTCGGGAGGATTTTGGGGGGATTTTGGGGGGATTTTGGGGCGTATGTGGGGGTGGATTTTGTGGGGATTTTGGGGCATATTTTGATGTGGATTTTGGGGGTATTTTGGGGCGCATTTTGGGGCAGATTTTGGGTGGATTTTGGGGAGGATTTTGGGGGGATTTCGGGGCTTATTTTGGTGCAGATTTTGGGGCAGATTTTGGGCGGATTTTGGGGCGGATTTTTGGGCATATTTTGGGCTGGATTTTGGGGTGGATTTTTGGGCGGATTTTGGGGTGGATTTTGAGGCGGATTTGGGGGGATTTTGTGGCGTATTTACGGGCGAATTTTGGGGAGGATTTTGGGGATATTTTGGGGTATTTTGGGTTGGATTTTGGGACGGATTTGGGAGCGGATTTTGGGGCGGATTTTGGGGCTGATTTTGGGGGTATTTCGGGCCGCATTTTGGGCGTATTTTGGGGGTATTTTGGGCTGGATTTTGGGCTGGATTTTAGGGCGTATTTTGAGGAGGATTTTGGGGCGGAATTTGGGGCGCATTTTGAGGTGTATTTTGGGTTGGATATTGGGGTTAATTTTGTGGAGGATTTTGGGATGGATTTTCGGGCGGATTTTGGGGCGGATTTTTCAGAGGATTTTGTGGGGATTTTGGGGCGATTTCGGGCTGGATTTTGGGGGTATTTTGGGGCGCATTTTGAGGCGGATTTTGGGGCATATATTGGGGGTATTTCGGGGCGTATTTTGGGTTGGATTTTGGGGGTATTTCGGGGTGCATTTTGTGTTGGATTTTGGGGGTATTTCGGGGCGCATTTTGTGTTGGATTTTGGGGGTATTTCGGGGCGTATTTTGGGTTGGATTTTGGGGGTATTTCGGGGCGTATTTTGGGTTGGATTTTGGGGCGATTTTGGGCTGGATTTTGGGCGGATTTTGGGGGTATTTTGGGGGTATTTCGGGGCGCATTTTGGGCTGGATTTTGGGGCCTATTTTGGGGGGATTTTGGGGCGTAGTTCACGGATTTTGGGATGGATTTTCGGGCGGATTTTCGGGCGGATTTTGGGGCAGATTTTGGGGGGATTTTGGGGCAGATTTTGGGGGGATTTTGGGGCGTAGTTCACGGATTTTGGGGGGATTTTGGGGCGCATTTTCGGGAGGATTTTGTGGGGATTTCGGGGCAGATTTTGGGGAGGATTTCGGGGCGCATTTTGAGGCGGATTTTGGGGAGGATTTTGGGGTGCATTTTGGGTTGGATTTTGGGGCGTATTTTGGGGTTGATTTTCGGGTTGATTTTCTGGTTGATTTCGGGGCGCATTTTGAGGCGGATTTTTGGGCGGATTTTGGGGCGGATTTTTGGGCATATTTTGGGCTGGATTTTGGGGTGGATTTTTGGGCGGATTTTGGGGTGGATTTTGAGGCGGATTTTTGGGCGGATTTTGTGGGTATTTCGGGGCAGATTTCGGGTGGATTTTGGGGTTCAGGCGCTGCCCCCACAGCCTCGGGGAGGAGTTCTACCGCGAGGCGCTGGAGCACTGCCGCAGCTACAACGCGCGGCTCTGCGCCGAGCGCAGCCTCCGCCTGCCCTTCCTGGACGCGCAGACCGGCGTGGCGCAGAGCAACTCCTACATCTGGATGGAGCGCGCCCACCGCCGCCCCGGTGAGACCCCCGGGACCCCCGGGATGGGGAGGGACCCCCGGGGTTAGGGAGAGACCCCCGGGTTAGGGAGGGCCCAGAGCAACTCCTACATCTGGATGGAGAGAGCCCACCGCCGCCCCGGTGAGACCCCCGGGACCCCCGGGACCCCCACCGGGACCCCCGGGACCCCCGAGACCCCCCTCGGGACCCCCCAGAACCCCCAGAACCCCCTCGGGACCCCCGGGTTAGGGAGGGACCCAGAGCAACTCCTACATCTGGATGGAGAGAGCCCACCGCCGCCCCGGTGAGACCCCCGGGACCCCCGGGACCCCCGGGACCCCCTCGGGACCCTCGGGATGGGGAGGGACCCCCGGGTTAGGGAGGGACCAGAGCAACTCCTACATCTGGATGGAGAGAGCCCACCGCCGCCCCGGTGAGACCCCGGGACCCCCGGGACCCCCTCGGGATGGGAGAGAACCCCGGGATGGGGAGAGACCCCCGGGAATGGGGAGAGACCCACAGGACCCCCAGGCTGGGGAGGAACCGGAGCAAATCCTGCATCGGGATGGGGAGAGACCCCCGGGACCCCCAACCCGGGATGGGGAGAGACCCCCGGGATGGGTAGAGACCCTCAGGACCCCTGAGACCCCCCCCGGGACCCCCCCTTGGGATGGGGAGAGACCCCCGTGACCCCACCGGGACCCCCGGGATGGGGAGAGACCCCCGGGACCCACCCCCGGGACCCCCAACCCGGGATGGGGTGAGACCCCCGGGACCCCCCTTGGGATGGGGAGAGACCTCCGGGACCCCCAACCCGGAATGGGGAGTGACCTCCGGGACCCCCAACCCGGGATGGGGAGAGACCCCCGGAACCTCCCTCGGGATAGGGAGAGACCCCCGGCACCCCCGGGAAACCCCCCGGGATGGGGAGGGACCCCCGGGTTAGGGAGGGCCCAGAGCAACTCCTACATCTGGATGGAGCGCGCCCACCGCCGCCCCGGTGAGACCCCCGGGACCCCCCCGGGAACCCCTCGGGACCCCCGGGATGGGGAGAGACCCCCGGGACCCCCCTCGGGATGGGGAGAGACCCCTGGGACACCCCCCCGGGATCGGGGGAGAGACCCCCACGACCCCCAAAATGGGGACAGAACCCCGCAACCCCCCCTGGGACACCCCCGAGATGGGGAGAGACCCCCACGACCCCCCTCGGGACCCCCAAGACCCCCCCCGGGACCCCCTTGGGATGGGGAGAGACCCCCGGGACCCCCGGGACCACCCCGGGACCCCCGGGATGGGGAGAGACCCCCGAGACCCCCAACCCGGGATGGAGAGAGACCCCCGGGATGGGGAGAGACCCCCGGGACCCCTATGGGACCCCCGGAACCCCCTCGGAATGGGGAGAGACCCTCGGGACCCCCCGGGACCCCCGAAATGGGGAGGGACCCCCGGGATGGGGAGAGACCCCCGGGAATGGGGGGATCAGGGTCAGTTTGGGGTCAGGGTCAGTTTGGGGGGTCGGGGTCAGTTTGGGGTCAGGGTCAGTTTGGGGTCAGTCTGGGGTCAGGGTCAGTTTGGGGTCAGGGTCAGTTTGGGGTCAGGGTCAGTTTGGGGGGTCAGGGTCAGTTTGGGGTCAGGGTCAGTTTGGGGTCAGTTTGGGGTCAGGGTCAGTTTGGGGTCAGTTTGGGGTCAGGGTCAGTTTGGGGGGTCAGGGTCAGTTTGGGGTCAGTTTGGGGTCAGGGTCAGTTTGGGGTCAGGGTCAGTTTGGGGTCAGGGTCAGTTTCGGGGGTCAGGGTCAGTTTGGGCTCAGGGTCAGTTTGGGGGGTCAGGGTCAGTTTGGGGGGTCAGGGTCAGTTTGGGGGGTCAGGGTCAGTTTGGGGGGTCAGGGTCAGTTTGGGGTCAGGGTCAGTTTGGGGGGTCAGGGTCAGTTTGGGGGGTCAGGGTCAGTTGGGGGTCAGGGTCAGTTTGGGGTCAGGGTCAGTTTGGGGTCAGTTTGGGGGGTCGGGGTCAGTTTGGGGTCAGGGTCAGTTTGGGGGGTCGGGGTCAGTTTGGGGGGTCGGGGTCAGTTTGGGGTCAGGGTCAGTTTGGGGTCGGGGTCAGTTTGGGGTCAGGGTCAGTTTGGGGTCGGGGTCAGTTTGGGGTCAGGGTCAGTTTGGGGTCAGTTTGGGGTCAGGGTCAGTTTGGGGTCAGGGTCAGTTTGGGGTCAGGGTCAGTTTGGGGTCAGGGTCAGTTTGGGGTCAGTTTGGGGGGTCGGGGTCAGTTTGGGGTCAGGGTCAGTTGGGGTCGGGGTCAGTTTGGGGTCAGGGTCAGTTTGGGGTCGGGGTCAGTTTGGGGTCAGGGTCAGTTTGGGGGGTCAGGGTCAGTTTGGGGTCAGGGTCAGTTTGGGGTCAGTTTGGGGTCAGGGTCAGTTTGGGGTCAGGGTCAGTTTGGGGTCAGTTTGGGGGGTCGGGGTCAGTTTGGGGTCAGGGTCAGTTTGGGGGGTCAGGGTCAGTTTGGGGTCAGGGTCAGTTTGGGGTCGGGGTCAGTTTGGGGGGTCGGGGTCAGTTTGGGGTCAGGGTCAGTTTGGGGTCAGTTTGGGGTCAGTTTGGGGTCAGGGTCAGTTTGGGGGGTCAGGGTCAGTTTGGGGTCAGTTTGGGGTCGGGGTCAGTTTGGGGGGTCAGGGTCAGTTTGGGGTCAGGGTCAGTTTGGGGTCAGGGTCAGTTTGGGGTCAGGGTCAGTTTGGGGTCAGGGTCAGTTTGGGGTCAGTTTGGGGTCAGGGTCAGGGTCAGTTTGGGGTCAGGGTCAGTTTGGGGTCAGGGTCAGTTTGGGGTCAGTTTGGGGTCAGGGTCAGTTTGGGGTCAGGATCAGTTTGGGGTCAGGGTCAGTTTGGGGTCAGGGTCAGTTTGGGGTCAGTTTGGGGTCAGGGTCAGGGTCAGTTTGGGGTCAGGGTCAGTTTGGGGTCAGGGTCAGTTTGGGGTCAGTTTGGGGTCGGGGTCAGTTTGGGGTCAGTTTGGGGTCAGGGTCAGTTTGGGGTCAGGGTCAGTTTGGGGTCAGGGTCAGTTTGGGGTCAGTTTGGGGTCGGGGTCAGTTTGGGGTCAGGGTCAGTTTGGGGTCAGTTTGGGGTCGGGGTCAGTTTGGGGTCAGGGTCAGTTTGGGGTCAGGGTCAGTTTGGGGTCGGGGTCAGTTTGGGGTCAGGGTCAGTTTGGGGTCAGGGTCAGTTTGGGGTCAGGGTCAGTTTGAGGTCAGTTGGGGGTCAGGGTCAGTTTGGGGTCAGTTTGGGGGGTCAGTTTGGGGTCAGGGTCACTTTGGGGTCAGGGTCAGTTTGGGGTCAGTTTGGGGTCGGGGTCAGTTTGGGGTCAGGGTCAGTTTGGGGTCAGTTTGGGGTCGGGGTCAGTTTGGGGTCAGTTTGGGGTCAGGGTCAGTTTGGGGTCAGGGTCAGTTTGGGGTCAGGGTCAGTTTGGGGTCAGTTTGGGGTCAGTTTGGGGTCAGGGTCAGTTTGGGGTCAGTTTGGGGTCAGTTTGGGGTCAGGGTCAGTTTGGGGGGTCAGGGTCAGTTTGGGGTCAGGGTCAGTTTGGGGTCAGTTTGGGGTCAGGGTCAGTTTGGGGTCAGGGTCAGTTTGGGGTCAGGGTCAGTTTGGGGTCAGTTTGGGGGGTCAGGGTCAGTTTGGGGTCGGGGTCAGTTTGGGGTCGGGGTCAGTTTGGGGTCAGGGTCACTCTGGGGTCACTCTGGTCACTCTGGGGTCACTGTGGTCACTCTGATGATGCTGTGGTCACTCTGAGGGCCCTGAGGTCACTCTGGGGGATCAGTGGTCACTCTGGGGGTGCTGTGGTCACTCTGATGTTCCTGTGGTCACTCTGGGGTCACTGTGGTCACTCTGGGGTCACTCTGGTCACTCTGGTGGCCCTGTGGTCACTCTGGGGGATCAGTGGTCACTCTGTGTGCACTGTGGTCACTCTGGTGGTTCTATAGCCAATCTGAGGGCCCTGTGGTCACTCTGGGGTCACTCTGGTCACTCGGGGCGCAGTGGTCACTCTGGGGGTTCTATAGCCACTCTGGGGTCACTGTGGTCACTCTGGGGGTGCTGTGGTCACTCTGGGGGTGCTGTGGTCACTCGGGGCGCAGTGGTCAGTGTGGGGGCACTGTGGTCACTCTGGGGTCCCTGTGGTCACTCTGGGCTCACTGTGGTCACTCGGGGCGCTGTGGTCAGTGTGGGGGTGCTGTGGTCAGTGTGGGGGCGCTGTGGTCACTCTGGGGGCACTGTGGTCACTCTGGGGGCACTGTGGTCACTCTGGGGGCACTGTGGTCACTCTGGGGGTGCTGTGGTCACTCTGGGGGCGCTGTGGTCACTCTGAGGGTGCTGTGGTCACTCTGAGGGCACTGTGGTCACTCTGGGGGATCTGTGGTCACTCTGAGGATGCTGTGGTCAGTGTGGGGGTGCTGTGGTCACTCTGGGGGATCAGTGGTCACTCTGGGGGTTCTATAGCCAATCTGAGGGCCCTGTGGTCACTCTGAGGGCACTGTGGTCACTCTGGGGTCCCTGTGGTCACTCTGGGGGATCAGTGGCCACTCTGGGGGCCCTGTGGTCACTCTGGGGTCACAGTGGTCACTCGGGGCGCAGTGGTCACTCTGGGGGATCAGTGGTCACTCTGGGGTCCCTGTGGTCACTCTGGGGTCCCTCTGGTCACTCTGGGGGATCAGTGGTCACTCTGGCGTCCCTGTGGTCACTCTGGGGGTGCTGTGGTCACTCTGGGGGTGCTGTGGTCACTCTGACGATGCTGTGGTCAGTGTGGGGGTGCTGTGGTCACTCTGGGGGTCCTGTGGTCACTCTGGGGGTGCTGTGGTCACTCTGGGGGATCAGTGGTCACTCTGGGAGCCCTGTGGTCACTCTGGGGTCACAGTGGTCACTCTGGGGGTGCTGTGGTCACTCTGAGGGATCAGTGGTCACTCTGGGGTCACTGTGGTCACTCTGGGGGCGCTGTGGTCACTCTGGGGGCCCTGTGGTCACTTGGGGTGCAGTGGTCACTCTGAGGGTTCTGTGGTCACTC